TTTTAGCAAAATGTATATTTTACTCAGAATTATCAGAATTATTTTCGATTGCGCTCTGTCTGTTTAGCGTGCATGCGCGCAGCAGCGCTCATTCACTTGCGTCACTTGCGTCAACTCCTGACAGCAAAATGAATATGTTTGCGTGACTTTCTGACATTTACAGATGAAAAAAATATACCTGTGACATGTCAGTTATGCACTGAGGAAAACACAACGTCTCAAATGCATTAAACAGCACAAATATATTCGCTGTTTGCCATGGTCTCAGAAACATGGTTGCAGGAATCTCATTTTTCATGATATCTTCTTCATATCTGAAATATAAACTCATGAGACATGTGACTTTCAACCCATTACTTTTCTGGATTGCTCCAGGACTGATTTCATGTATTCTTTATATGAAATTTAAAAAAAATTCAGTGTGGTACAATTTTTTTCAAGGCACTTAAGTGTCTATAACTTTTTTATCTTTTTGAGCATCATCAAATCTGGATGATGGCTCGTAAAGCCCAAAGGGTCTTCTTTCCAAAGACAGCAAAATTGTGTGTGTAGCACACTGAAGTCAGGAACTGTTACAATTTTAAGTTAGGTAGGTCATTTTCAGCTGTGAGTCCCAAAATGGGGGGTGCAGGTTAACAGGTAAAAAAACAAAAAAGAAACTAACACTAGCTTCTCTATTCTTCTTCTATTCTATCTATTCCTTTTCTTTTTATTATATAATTAACAAAAGCAAAAAGGCCTCTAACACTAGCTTGCTCTATTCTTTTTCAATTCTGTTTTCTTTGTATTTATTATATAATTAAAAAGACCCTTGCTATGTGTACTATGTTAAGCTAACTGAGACTTGTTATAGCACTTGCGTATCATTGCTCTTTTGTTGATTTTGATTGCTTCCATTGTCCTCATTTGTAAGTCGCTTTGGATAAAAGCATCTGCTAAATGACTAAATGTAAAAGTAATGTATTTTTTCTAGATTATAATTAATGAATCTCTCTACACTGCACACTGAATCTATTAGCCTATTTACATTGTCTCTACACTTTGTTT